TTTTTTAAGTTGAGTGTTGATCATCTATTTAAAAATAAATAGCAATTAAATTTAAGTTTGGGTTAAGTTGTTAGGCCTAATTGTAACCTTATAATGTAAAAGGAATCCCTATAGTTTTAAGCATAAGCTGAGGTAGATTTTTATCACTAAGAACATTTAAACTATAACTGAATGTATTTAAAGAAAGAGCAACTTGTTCAGTAAACCATTTAAAAAAAAAAGTTTTTCCCCCTGCTGTACCGAAATCATACCAAACCGTGACGTTAAAACCGATGTACGTACCGAACCGTCATAACGGTTACACCCCTAATATATACAGTGGGTACAGAAAGTATTCAGACCCCCTTAAATTTCACTCTTTGTTATATTGCAGCCATTTGCTAAAATCATTGTGTATATATTAGGGCTGGGCAAGTTAACACGTTATTATCGCATTAATTATTTTAATTATTTTATTGCGCGTTAACACAGTTTTTTATTATTATAAAAGTCCGTTGCTCACTGGGTCTGAATACAAATACAGACAAACCATGGGTCACAGGAGGGGGTGGGATGTTGATCAGTATTGGCTTGGGATGGGTCTCATCACGCGTCTCAACCAATGAGAGCATTTGGGGTGGGTCTAAGTCTGCAGCAGCGCTCACATGAAGCGCTCATGACTTCATAAGTGGGAAATAGGACGTTTCCGATAGCACGTGAAGAAAGCAGAGAAGTGCTCTCGCTCATCACAGTGGAGTGCATCGTTTTGTTAACTTTGTGGTTTATTATTTTGAGTCGTTTGGGACGCGGTAACACACACGGTCCTCTCACAATATATTGCTTTACAGATCTATCACTTTTGCCACTCAGAAATGTTCACGCAATCATGCTGCACGTATCAGAAATTCCACGCTCTGCAGTACATGCGTACCGCGCCCGAGCCCAACTGAACCACGTTGTGGCCAACCTCTTCCAAGCGAGCCAGGGCCGGCTAAACGAATCGTGGCATAGAGCGATCACACTAGTCAAACGAACCGGGCTTTGGAGTTCAGACGCGCTCGGGCACGGTTGATATTGCCTAGTGTGATACAATTCTACCGCATCCCGCACACACGAGTCCCTACCCGCCCACACTCGCCCATCAAGTGTTGTCCCGCGCCACACTCTGCTGTGTTGTGTCCCGCGATCGTGCAGGTCTCTACTCATCTGTGCGTTTGTTTTTTTAGAGTTTACTTCAAAAACAGCGATTTTATCCTCTCATTGCTGGAAAATATAATGTAACGATTCAGTATTTAAACTGTTATTAATAAAAGTCGTGGGGCAGCGTTGACAAGTTTCTTTGCTCCTGGATGTGTGAGCTGCGTGATATCTAATGTGTGTGTTTGTGTGTCAGTAAGCAGCGCGTTAATATAGAATGGTAATTAAAGGCTCTAATGCACACACCAGCACACCAGTATAGGTGTGTGTATTGTAGGAGCTAGACGACGTATGATGGCGTGTGACGTATAGTAGTGGTGTCCCAATTCTTAGGGGAATATTTTCACCCCTACCCCTTGGCACTCTGTTTCAAGGGACAAGGGGAAGGGGTATAAAATTGAATTGGGATTGGGCCTAAATCAGCATATTAGAATGATTTCTGAAGGATCATGTGACACTGCAGACTGGAGTAATGATTCTGAAAATGCAGCTTCATTCAGCAATAAATTATATTTAAAAGTATATTAAAATATAACACTGTTATTTTAAATTGTAATAATATTTCACAATATTACTGTTTTTTCTGTATTTTTGATCAAATAAATGCAGCCTTGATGAGCATAAGAGACTTCTTTAAAAAGTAATACAAATCTTACTGATCCCAAACTTTTGAATGGTAGTTTCAGAATCAGAATCAGAATGAGCTTTATTGCCAGGTATGTTTACACATACGAGGAATTTGTTTTCGTGACAGAAGCTTCCACAGTGTAACAGAATGACAGTGACAGAACAAAAAACACAGATAATAAAAAATAGAACAAGTAAGTAAGGAATAAAAATATATAAATTGACAGTTGTATGTGCAGGTATATTACAATAGACAGTTTTTGTATGTACAGGTACTGTATATTATGTGCAAATTTGAGGTGTAGACTGAGTATGTGTGTTAGATAAATAAGTGTATGAGTGAATAAATAGTGTGTGTTCCACAGTTATTGTTAAGTGTTCATGAGATGGATTGCCTGAGGGAAGAAACTGTTCCTGTGTCTGGTCGTTCTGGTGCTCAGTGCTCTGTAGGGTCGACCAGATGGCAACAGTTCAAAGAGGGAGTGTGCTGGATGTGAGGGGTCCAGAGTGATTTTGCCAGCCCTGTTGCTCACTCTGGATAAGTACAGTTCTGGGAGAGAAGGGAGGTTTGTACCAATGATTCACTCAGCAGTCCGGACTACCCTCTGAAGTCTTCTGAGGTCAGATTCGGTAGCTGAGCTGAACCAGACAGTTATTGAAGTGCAGAGGATGGATTCAATGATAGCAGAGTAGAACTGTTCCAGCAGCTCCTGTGGCAGGTTGAACTTCCTCAGCTGGCGAAGGAAATACAACCTCTGCTGGGCCTGAGTCAATGTGAGTGTCCCACTTCAGGACCTAAGAGATTGTGGTGCCCAGGAATCCGAATGACTCCACTGCAGTCACAGTGCTGTGCAGAGATTTGCCAGGTGGATGCTTGGCAACGGCGTTCTGAATCCGCGCTGTCTGAGCTTCACGAGCGCGCCGGCTCGCTTCCCCCGTCTGCGCGTCCTGAAGCGAGTGATCAGCACCGCAGCTCCCCCGACAACAATGTCCAGCAGAACATCAGAATAATCAAAAACCGGTGAAATATCGGGTGGTGTGTACTTCCTAATGTCCAGCAATTCGTCTCTGGTGAACCTGATTGCAGGGATATAACTAAAGACGGAACAAACTAACAAAAACATAAAAACAACTGCGGAGCACGCCACGGAGGCAGCCATCAGCGTCGGCGCCATCTTTCAATTACAATTGAATGTTCTTGCTTAATTTCAAAAGATTTGAGTTGAGACTTCAGTGAGTAAGATATTAGGTAAATGTATATCTTCATCTCATTCCATTCAGTTTGGACTCCAGCCTCTCAACTACTATTTCTTTTGCTGAGGCACTGTAGATTTAACAGTGCAGGAAACACTGCAGAGATTTTAGTCTTACCGCCCACCCTTAACTCGCACTGTGAATTCCACCCATGTTTGTGTGTATTTCTCATTGTGTGTGTGTATGTCGTAGGGGCTCTGTGTGTAACGTGTTGCTGACGTCCTGCGCGGATGGCATCTGTCGTCTATGGAGTGAGACCCTCTTGCCTGAGGACAGTCTGTTGGGGGGGCAGATCTCAGAGAACAGCACCAGCTTCAGCTCCTCTCTGCCAAACATCGCTCAGAAAGACAAGATACAGCACGCTCTGGAGGTCAGCATGCAGAAACACACATGCTCAGAAACACCAGTTTGAAATCATACCAGCGCAATAGAATTATGTAGCCCGAAATTATTGGCATCAAGGCATAATGAAGAATTATTTGCTATGTGTGTTAGCTGGGTTACTTTTTAAAATGATCTACTCCCTGCAAATGTAGTCTCTGGCGTAAATCTACACACTATGGCAGCAATTTGATCAAATAATCACATTGTTATCTGTGTCTTCCTTACGTATCAAATCATATTTACTTAGATATCAAGGCTAAAATCACACTTAAATGCAAATAAATGTCTGTGCTATTAAATCATATTTAAATTGTTGTCAAATGGCAAAGTATTGAATGATTTTTGCACCAGATTTTTTCCTCCTCAGCAGTTGTCATCTTCAGTAGGATGTGTGAAAACTGCATATTAGCAAGCAGTAGCCTACCTTTTGTCTCTATGTAAACCAAAAACTAGCAAGCAATACATTTTGTCTCCTAACTAAATCATATTTTGTTGAAAATAGACAAAATGGATAGCAATTTAAAACCATCAAGCTTCAAACAGGGCAAAAAAATTTTTAATAGAAGCACCACAAATGTACTACACAAGAAATATATTAGTGGTCGACCGATATATCGCCAAGGCCGATATATCGGCGGATATTTGGCATTTTTCAAATATCGGCATCGGCCGATAAGTTTTTCTTTTTGGCCGATGTGTTCGAGGCGCTGAGAACGGTAGCACATGAGTGCACACAGCTCACATTCTCCCTCTTGTTCGCTGTCGTCGTTCAGTTCTGTCTAATATGGATAGAAGTCTATCTAATAATCAGATAGAACTGTTAAACAAAATAATTGAAATGTATACAAAAAAGTATTATAATGATTGCTTTAATATTATTAGTAATAGAAAGGCAAACTTTATAATACTTTCTCGTTTGCCGTCAGCATTCAGCAAATACGCATTTATATCATTTAAACAAATCTTTGAATGACTAATGAACATTTAATTTCACAAACCTTGCAGACTTAGTCGAATCTAGTTCAGATCTTGTGAAGTGTGTATTTGTATCCTGCATGATCGCATGTTCTCTGCATGACGGTCGGTCCGTGCAAATTGAATGCTGACAGGAGGAGAGTTCTGCTTGACTGGAGATGCGCGATCGACTTTAAACTAGTGATTTCTTGTATCCTGCATGATCGCATGTTCTCTGCATGACGGTCGGTCCGTGCAAATTGAATGCTGACAGGAGGAGAGTTCTGCTTGACTGGAGATGCGCGATCGACTTTAAACTAGTGATTTCAAATTATGCTGCGCTTTATGCATTTGTCCACTGTCATATTCATGTTATTTTCATTGCCTGCTGTATGTACAATGAGTGTTACCTTGGCTTTATTTGAAAGAAAAAAAAAAGATTCCCAATGCACACAGACGTCCCAGAATACTGAGTGCCCTGTTGGTTACAGTGTTTACCTCCTTTTTAATTATATTTTTATTAAATATTTATTTATTTGTGAAAATGCTTTGGCTTCTAAAGTATAAGTATGTTTATTTTACACAATTATGTTTAATCCATTTTCAAATGATTTCAAATTTCTTAAATATAAATAAAATTATATCGGCCATCGGCCACCCTGCTTTCCAAGATATCGGCATCGGCTGTCAAAAAACCCTTATCGGTCGACCACTAAAATATATAGAAAAATGTTTGTGAATATCATCCTTATTTTCAGTTTGTTCTGACAAAAATCTAGACAGATTGCAGAACCTTATCTTGATTGGGAAACTTGATGAAAAACACAAGATGCCTTATTAGAGTGGATAGTTAATGGAGCTTAGTGATTCAGTGATGTTTTCACTGAAAAAGAAAAAAAGATGAATAAAACGTATGTGTTCCGGCAGTTTTCATTATCAGTACCTCAATTAATGCAATCATATGGAGTTTTACATGGCAGTGTGCTTTAAAATCAGGAAGAAAAACTTCCTTTTCCTTTGCACTTTTCCTTAGTAAATCTCAGTATGTGTACTCTAGTCTACATTTAGAGTATATATGTATGTATATATATATATATACAGGGTTTGAAATTAACACCCGCCAAATGCGGGTAAAAATCAGCTGTGGCGGGTAACGCTGTCATATCACTAGCCAATTTGGCGGGTTACTTTTTGTAAGTTATGTTCACTCATTAATTTCCTGGGGAAGTTAATGCAAGCCAAATCTGCGCAGGTTTAGCGCAAATACTGAACTCGTGAGACATGGCATTATCAAAAATGCAAAAACCAAACAAAACACATCTACAGAGGCACACATACGCGACGTGATGAAGTCTGGTTAGACCTATGGGTTAGACCATCACAGGCTTTAGTGCGCGTGCGCATTTAAAGTGCGTTCTTTCACTGCATGACTCAGTCTATTAATATGCATTAAGAATGATCGCATAATTCAAGATAAGGGGGCAGAAAATGTATATATTTATATCAATTCATATAGTTAATCAATGTCACAGGAAGAGTGCCATTTTGTCTTAAAAAAATCAGCTTGGTTACAAATGTGATATTGATTTTATACAGCAGTTCAATAAGAGACTTACGTTTTCACACCATATTGGCTGTTTTTGTGCTATTCTGCGCTATTTCGCCAACAAAAAACATTTCAAACACAGCCACAGCACTGTTTTGATTCTCTGAGCAACATGACCGTGTTTTGTTCCTGAATGAATAAACCGTTTAAATGATTCAGTTCAATTGCAATGACTCACTTAACAGTGACTTGCTGCCACCTACTGGCAGTTTTAATTTCACATTTAAAGTATATTTTCATTTTGTAAATAATTTCAAATATCAGTATTCAACATTTCATGTTTAAAATATCAAAACATTATTTATGCATTTGTGACTGCAGGCTAAAGCATTCCATGTCCCTCTAAGCTGCATTAACATGTGTAAACGCATCTAAATGTCACTTCATATGCAACTTCTGCAAAGATGAATTTTATTGATACTGATTTCATTTTACTAACAGCCTGAATGTATTATTATTATTATTATTATTGACTGATTAAATGTAAGAATTTGACTTAAAAGATGATTGAAAAAAATGGCTTTATAAAGGTAAAAATGCCCATAAAAGGTGAAAATCAATTAAAACTTATTGAAAAACATTAATTTCTATCACTGCTGTGAACTGCCCACACAGAATATGAAATGTATCAAAAACTTTAGGAGTCAGCTGTCCACGGTAGTCCTTAAGATATCAGCACAATAACACACTCAGCAAAATATCGTCAAATTATTTTTATCGATAAAATCCCAGAAAATATTGAAATATTATTTTTTGTCAATATCGCATACCCCTAGTACTGACACAAAATGATTTGCAACGGTCACTTTGTCATGTTCAGTTTAGACAGCCTCAAGCTGTTGTTTTATTTCTGTCTTGGTTTTTTTGGGGTTTTTTGCCTAGTAGACCTTATGAATGGCTGGTAACTAAAAATGTAGTAGCCAAATTGGCTGGTGAGTGAAAAAGTTAATTTCAATCCCTGTATATATATGTATGTATGTATGTATATGTGTATATATATATATATATATATATGTGCATGGGCTTCATTTAATATAATTGTGCATCTGTTGATTTCATTTTTGTGTGGATTATTTGGGTTTATTTGAAAAACAGAAGCATGCTGAATGGATTCCGATGTGAATCTCCGGTTTGAACGACTCTGATAAGTAATAAATAACATGATATGCAGTTAACTTTATTATAAGAAAACAAAAACCATATTATTTGCCCCGTTTGCATCTTCAAGGCGCCTGTTACACATTTTTCCTGTGTTAACGTCAGTATTTAATGGATGTGGAGGGTGGGCACCCACCGGAAGAAACATTTTGATGATAATGATGATAACATTTTCATTTTTAGGTGTATTTCTTTAATGTTAGCTGTTAGACTATTCTTAAATCGATTTTAGACAGAATTTTGGTAAGTTTGTATTGCACAATGCACAGACATATATTTGTGTTTAATAAAATCACAGACTTTTGGTTTTTTAGTTTAGCAATCATGCATGGGTGTATCACACCTTAAGTGTATTTTTATTAATATTGCATCTTGAACACACACAGACTCACCTGTCTCCATGTGCCATCTGTAGACCCATATGGAATCTGCATTTTCTGCACTGATTTTAGGGGAGAAACTTTAATGACACATGACAAAGAGTGTTTTTGGAGCTGAGAGTACTTCTCTCCATTTCATGGTGGCCTGCTGTACATGAATTGCATTTGCGATGGTAAAAATTGTCTGTCTCCATTCAGTCTATCCACCACCTCAAGCACCTGCGCAGGGGCCGCAGAAGATCATCTGCCCTGGTAGCCCACACCGAGCTGCTGCCCAGCCAGCTGGGGTCCCACGAAACTCACCGCCACATTTCACACCACGCCAACGCCCTCTGCCATTTCCACATCTCTGCCAGCATCAATCCCAACACAGGTGCACACACACACACACACAGACACACTTACTTGTGATTGTAAACATGGTATACGAGAACACAATCTTATATAATTACATAGAGCAGGGGTGGCGAACGTCGGTCCTGGAGAGCCGCAGCCCTGCAGAGTTTTGCTTCAACCCTAATCAAACACACCTGAACAAGCTAATCAAGGTCTGAAGGGTTACTAGAAAGCTACAGGCAGGTGAGTTTTAATTAGGGTTGGAGCTGTACTCTGCAGGGCTGCGGCTCTTCAGGACTGGAGTTCGCCACTGCTGACATAGAGATTACAGCGTGAGCATGGTTTATGAGGATGCTACCTTCGTCCTCATAAATGTTTTTTTTTTGTATCATATTTGATGCATAAGGCTTTTATGGCTCTAGTAAACTATATAGTATAATATAGTAAACTCTTAAACTAATATGATATAGGACAATGGGAAGCTCATACTCGAGGAGGAAAAAAATACGTCAGCTTTATTTAGAGGCCCAAACTGACCAAAAATATGCAATTTTGATGCAGTTGCTGATGTTTTTTTGTCTAAAAAGATAAAAATCTGACTGCTTTTAATGTGAATCAATGAGGTGTTTATAACAGTATAGCAGACTACTTACAGTACATAAAATTATTTTAAATATCAGTTGTTCCCAATAATATATCTTGCCATGACATTTAAATGCTTTTTTTAATCAAAGCTCTGCACTTTTTATTGTGGGGGACCAGACATATAATGCAATTCAATACAGTGATGACTGAGAGATGCACAAATAAAAGTTACTTAAAGGGGGGGTTGATCAGCTTTTTTCGAAGGCTTGATTGTGTTTATGGGGTGCAGTGTAACATGTGTTCATGCTTTGTTTTTTAAAAAAATACACATTATTTTCACATAATTTACGTTTATTCTACACCGCTGTTTCCGTTCTCATCAAAACGGTCTGTTGAGTTCCTAGTTCTATGAAGCCCCTCCCTCAGAAATATGCAGTCGGGCTCAAATTGGTTAGCTGGCCCAGTGTGTTGTGATTCGCTAATTCCCTAGGAAACATCACACCCCCTTACCATTACAGGTAGTTGCATGTTCCCGGGGGCAGGGTTTATGTAAACATAAAGCTTAGAGATGTCACAAACCCGGGAAGAAGCTCGCTGTAGTCCCTACCAGCCTTTGGATGAGTTGTCTGATAAGGGCTCTTCAGAGCATGAGGAGGGAGATCAGGAGGGCAGCACCAAGGCCTCTTCTCCAGGTTCGAGCAGCAGTCTTCCTCTGCCCTCTGTTTTGCTGGATCGGAAGCTGGATGCTCTCATCCTGGAGTGGAACAAGAGTCCAGACATGCTTTTCACTATTCACCCACACGATGGATCTTTCCTTGTCTGGCATGTCAAGTACCTGGATGAGTTCATACCTGGCGTGGAGCCCCAGATCGAGGGAGATTATCAGTGGTCTTGTATGTCTTCCATTTTCTAATAATTGCTCCCATAGTTGATTTTTTCACACCAAGCTGCTTACCTATTGCAGATTTAGTCTTCCCAGCCTGGTGCAGGTCTGCAATTTTGTTTCTGGTGTCCTTTGACAGCTCTTTGGTCTTGGCCATGGTGGAGTTTGGAGTGTGACTGTTTGAGGTTGTGGACAGGTGTCTTTTATACTGATAACGAGTTCAAACAGATGCCATTAATACAGGTAACCAGTGGAGGACAGAGGAGCCTCTTAAAGAAGAAGTTACAGGTCTGTGAGAGCCAGAAATCTTGCTTGTTTGTAGGTGACCAAATACTTATTTTATCGAGGAATTTACCAATTAATTCTTAAAAAATCCTACAATGTGATTTTCTGGATTTTTTTTCTCATTTTGTCTCTCATAGTTGAGGTATACCTATGATGAAAATTACAGGCCTCTCTCATCTTTTTAAGTGGGAGAACTTGCACAATTGGTGGCTGACTAAATACTTTTTTGCCCCACTGTATATGTGTGTGTGTGTGTGTGTGTGTGTGTGTATATACATGCATTTTTACAGACTAGAATAGCCCTATTAATTGCCTCATAACAGTTATATGAGCTATACGTGCTAGCTTTTAATCTTAAGATAAATCACAGCAGGTCAGTTCTGTGTGGTTATACTTACTCTGGCCATTGGGCTGTTAATAAAATATAATTGTCTTGATATTCAAGATGTACTACTGAACATTATTATGCACCAAGATTTCAGTTTATTGATGCCATTATAGAAATACCCTCTCACAAGTGTATGATAATATGAGGGTTATACAAAATGAATTGAAAAGTGCTAGGGTTGTGCCGATAGACTATACCTATGGCTGATGCCTTTGATGATATCAAGACGATTATTATTATTATTATTATTATTATTATTATTATTATTATTATCAGGCTAGTATTATTATCTAATTAATATTAGGGCTTATTTGTTCCATCATATTTCTTTTTACAGATTTTTACAGTGTTGATAGTTATAACCAATCACACACGATTCTGTTGAGTTTATGAATGCAATGACCAATCAGAGGCATTCAGACGAGTCATCACAAACAAATAAACACCGGAGTTTTGTTAATTAGTGTGTACGTTCTCGCTGACTGATTTCTGCTCTCGCAAAATTCTCTCATAAACAACAAAATGCAGATGTATGACCAATAGGGATTTATTCATAATACAGAGCAAACAGCTTCACTGATTATAACGGGAGTGTTTATTGTGCATAAAATCGCACAAGACTGAAGTCAGTGATGATGTTCTTTGATCGTTTGCTGTAGCTGAGGAAATGTAAGCATTTTATTTAGTAACTTTCAATGTTTTTATTAAATTATGTTAAATACAAATTCAGTCATATTAAATGTTTTATGACATGACATCCATATGCTGCTTGACTAAAATATATTATGTTTAGTTAATAGATTACAGTAACATTAGGCTGCTTTTAGTCATACGCTGGAGTTGGTTCACACTCCGGCTATGAAACTAAGTAAATAATGAAATCAATTATCATGATAATGTCATGTATTGACAATCTCACAGGCTGACGATAGGACGATATGACTATGGACTATATCGTCCAACACTAAAAAGTAGCGATGTAACGATTCGATTTTCTTACGTTTTTTTTTTTAAAAATTAGATTTAAGACTAATAATTAAGGAAAAGGTGTCCTTTTATTATTGCTTGGACAAAATACTGCACATTTCTTTGTGAAACGGAAATATGTAAAATAAAAAAAAAAAACTTGAAATTTAAAAACAAACCCAAAATCTAATCAAATAAATAAGACAAAAAAACCCTCTTCATATAAACAAAGGCTTTGCCTGTGCTCTTTCCATTGAAAATTAGAGGCAACCACTGCATTTGAATCACAATCCAAACAAAGATGCTGAATACATGCAGCATGAGCAGCTTTTTAAAATCTAAATTAGATTATATAATTTGAAATTTTACAACAAACACAGAATGCTCTGACTTTAGTTTTGTGAAACTATACTACATAAAGTATCTGCGCGAAACAAAGACAGCAAAAGCTCTGAATGAGATGCAGATTCACTCTCTGACAGCAGGTGGCGCTCATGGAACAGCAGTGATACAGCGTTTGTTACCGATGTAAACAAAGCAGTGCAGCGCTTATGAACGCTGCTTTAGGCCAGAACACGTTTTTTTGCAGTGAGAGGCGCCTTTTTTTAAATTGTTTTCTATTGGCAGTGAGCGTTTTGCGTGCTGTTTATGCACCCTGGGCGCCTTGCGTTTTAGCCGCCTGCTGCACCTCGCGTTTTTGCAGGAGCGCTCTAAGCACCTGTAGTTGGGGGAAAAAAAGCAACTCTGAGCAGAAAAGCGCCCGACGTCATTCGCATTTTTTTCCCATTGCCCAATCGAATGAATGGAGAGGCGGGCCTTCTGTTGTGTTGACGAAAGTTTACAGTTGCTTGTTGTGGCTGTCGCGGGTTACCCGGAGCTGTAAATTTTTTGAAGTTTTTGCTAATATGACAGTTTAACAGCAAACCAAAGAGTGCTCACGCTACACTGACAGGACAGCTGATTCAGTGGTTGCCTAGCAACATAAAAACGCAGTGCACTGCTCTTTTATCTATAATCAACCAAAAAAAGGCAGTGCGGTGCGTCTCGCGTTTTTCAGGTTCTGTCTGATCGGGGCCTTAATATGCATTATACAGAGTCGAGATGAAAAGAAAATACCATCTAAACTTTTCTAAAGACAGTTTGTTCCCCTCAGAGATACATTCATATAAACTCCCACCCCCAAATTTATCGCGATTCGTTTAACATCTCAACCCGATTTGAATCGTCACACATTTGTATCGATGTTCAACTGGCTCACGGTGAATCGTTACATCCCTACTAAAAAGTTCCCTTATCTAGAATGAAAGCATTTGTCACTATAGCTGCATTCACATGGACCCTAATAATCTGTTTGTAACTGGATTAGCAGACTAGTCATGGTCTCTGAATTAATGGTCAAATAAAAATGTCTGCTAAACATTGAAGTATTTATAATATTGGATAATTTTATATTGAAAACAAAATATAATTTCTCATATAGTAGGTGAAATGTAATTGTATTTCATAATAAGCCATTTGTGGGTGTGTATGTGGATGGTTTGTGTTTGTCAATTGTGTTCTGCTGTTAAAGCATCATGTGGGTGATAAAAATATTGGGTGTTCTTTCCAAAGGTCACTTGAGCTCCTCATCTATCTACCCTGTGTGTTTGGCTCCATACCTGATTGTGACCACCTGTTCTGATGGACGTGTCAGGTTCTGGCACTGTAGGGTGGACATGGAATTATCAGCGCCACACCCCAAAGAGACACGTTCATATCGGTGGGAGCAATGGAGCCTCTTGAAAGAAGAAGATGACATCGACAGCTCTGTGTGTGTTGCGGGCCGACCCGTTGCGGTCAGCTGCTCCTACACGGGAAGACTTGCTGTGTCGTTCAAACAGATGTCGCTTGAGAACGAGGGTGGCACGCCTCAGGACTTCTCCATGCTTGTATCAATCTACGAGTGTGAGTCGACGGGTGGCTCGGAGTGGGTCCTGGAACAGACGATTCACCTTGATGATTTTAGCAAACCTGGGAAAACCCTAGATCCACGTGTTAGTGTTGATAGCAATTTGGTTGTCTATAGCAAGTCAGATCTGTTTGTAACCAAAGACAGCCCTAATATCAAACACTTTGTGCACCTGGACTGGCTGTCAAAAGAAGATGGGTCGCACATCCTGACGGTCGGGGTTGGATCCAACATCCTTATGTATGGACGCATCTCAGGGGTTGTCACAGAGCAGACAGGAGTGAAGGATGGCATGGCAGTCACCCTACCTTTAGGAGGCAGTATAAAGCAGGGAATTCGCTCTCGTTGGGTGCTTCTGAGGTCTGTAAACCTCGTCTCTTCTGTGGATGGTACCCCATCCCTGCCGGTGTCCCTATCCTGGGTGCGTGATGGCATCCTGGTGGTGGGCATGGATTGTGAGATGCAGGTTTATGCGCAGTGGAGGCAGGACGAAAAACCAGGCGACTCAGACAACAACAGCATCTCATCCCCAGAGGGCGTTGGAGGTCGCACTGTGTCTGTTTCAAATGAGGGCAGAGCGCGATCTAAGAGTGTCTTCGAGGGTAGTGCAGGAATTGATGATGTTTTCCGCCCCCCTGCAGTGATTCAAGATGGTGGCTTGTTTGAGGCTGCCCATTCATTGTCACCCACTCTTCCGCAATACCATCCAACCCAGTTGCTAGAGCTTATGGACCTCGGAAGGGTACGTCGTGCTAAGGCCATTTTGGCACACCTGGTCAAGTGCATTGCTGGAGAAGTTGCAGTGGTGAGGGATGTGGAAGCAGGTGAGGGTGGTGCCAGGAGGCATCTATCCCGAACCATCAGCGTGACGGGAAGCACAGCAAAAGACATTATCGTTGCTGGCCGAGATGTTGGGCGAGATTACACTGAAATCAACTCTATTCCCCCACTTCCACTATACGCCCTGCTGTCTGCAGACCAGGACACCTCTTACAAGATGGGAGAGGAAGCGGGAAAAGGGGCAGATCGTGATACACAGAAACAACCAGAAGATCAATACTCTGATCTGTTTCAGGTGCAGACTGTCACCACTGACGATTTTGTGAGCTTTGCTGCAGAGAAACCAGAGAAGAAGTCTCGTGTGATTAACCTATCACAATACGGCCCCACATACTTTGGCCCTGAACATGCACAAGTGCTGTCTTCCCATCTAATGCACTCCAGCCTGCCAGGACTCACACGCCTCGAGCAGATGTTCCTTGTGGCTCTTGCCGATACTGTGGCGACCACTAGTGCAGAAGTAGCAGGACCCACAGATAAACAGTACGCTGGTGAGTTTACTTCTCGTAACATCTTTAAAACTGATGTAATTTTGCACCACTAGTGTTGCCAAATGGAATTGCAAAAACAATGAATGTTTTACAGGTTTTTCAAACAGTCCACCTATTTTTCATTGGTCAAACAAACAGATCAAAGTCATTGGTTGAGCCAATTTTGCTGTATTGGGCTTATCTGGATGCTCAAACAAAGCATTGCTTTTTTGGTTCTACAGAACCATAGTCTTTACACTTTTCAAGGAAAACAACATACGATTGAGTTTTTAAAACTGATGTAATTTTGCACCACTAGTGTTGCCAAATGGAATTGCAAAAACAATGAATGTTTTACAGGTTTTTCAAACAGTCTACCTATTTTTCATTGGTCAAACAAACAGATCAAAGTCATTGGTTGAGCCAATTTTGCTGTATTGGGCTTATCTGGATGCTCAAACAAAGCATTGCTTTTTTGGTTCTACAGAACCATAGTCTTTACACTTTTCAAGGAAAACAACATACGATTGAGTTTCTTATATTTGTCTCTGCAAATTTAAGAATTACAAGCTTCACTACTAGGGCTGGGAATCTCTGGCTCTCAATCAAACATTGGTGCCTGTAATTTTCAAGTATTGAAGATTTTGGTTAGCATTTTCAAGTTTGTTTAAGGTTGGTGCAAAACTCTGCCGGACAATGGACTTTTGAGGGCCAGATTTGCACACCCCTACAGTGAAAATACTGTTCTGAAAATTATGGTCACAAAGACTTTCTGCGTCTAAATAAACGCAATTATTTTCAAGAAAAAAGAGACAGAAGCAGCAGTTGTGAGTGGTATGGCCAACCTATCTCTGCCCCTGAGTTAATTGTGTTAAATATTTTTAACACGTTAAACTGAAAAAAAATTATTTATTGTCAACATTAAACATATCAGGCTTTATCCATGTTACCTATAGCTCAGATCTTTTTTATTTAGACTTTTTAGTACTAAACCAAAACACAGTGTCCCAGTGCTTGCTAGAGCCAAGATGCAAGGAGAAAGGTTCAGGGACATTAGGATAAATCATACGGCATGCAAGTGTTTATATTGTAGTTCTAATTCACCTAACATTAGATTGCTGATGAACTTCAAAGTTCAATCCTCAATTTCCCTGTAGAGGAAGTTTTTAATTAGTCTCTGAGTTTTGATGTGTTGGATTTTTTGGTACTGTTAAAATGTTTTATTGGATCAGGTGTGATCAGAGTCACTAGGTGGTGATGCAGATTGTGGTCTGGAATATGTTCAGGATTGTGTGTGCTCTGAGCATTAACACTCTTTGATGACAGAGCCATATGTCTGAGAGTGACGATCTCATATCATGCTTTTCGAAACTGATGCAGTGGAATTGCTGTGTTGAAAAAAAATCAGAAGTTAAAAATGCAACACAGTTTCTAAGGGTTATGTTGTAGTAAATGTGTGTTTCTGCAGGTGGAGAGGCTCTAGATGAGTGTGGTCTACGTTACCTGCTGGCCATGAGGTTACATACCTGTCTGCTGACATCCCTGCCCCCACTCTACAGGATGCAGCTACTGCATCAGGGTAACACACACTCACTTACATACACATATACACACGTCACACTCCCATCTGCACACAATGTGGTATATGGTTTCCCTCATGTAAGATGATGCTAAAGCTTTTCCAACACCAGTAAAGGGCCCAGCATTGAAAATGAATGTGGAGGAAAAAAATTAAAACACTTTTAAAAAACCGTTAATAATTTATGAACATATGAATATAAAGACATTAGACTGGTGTATTGTTGCAACAGTGCTCGTTTTTGGACTTAACCATACAATTCTTTCTTATTAAATTATTTTTGTAAGGTGCTGATATTTTGAATATTATATTGTTGCACCTGTATTATATTATATACACACAGTGGTGTGAAAAAGTGTTGGTATAATTTTGAACCGTGATATATATTTTTTTATCATACCGCCCAGCACTACTTAACGCCGTAATTTTTGCTCATAAAGATAAGAGCAATACATCATTTCAAACTGTAAAGAGTCTACTTTTATTTGTGTGCACTCATGATATATATAAAACATCGTGCTTTTTTTTTAAATAAAGAAAACAAACAGGATGCGCTTTTCTGCCATCTCGAACAGGAGCAGGAGCGCTTGACAAAAATGAGCAGAAACTCAGCGAATACTTGCCTCACAGACATGATAAATATATCTATAGAAAGCTTTAAATTACTACTTTAAAACTAAATAATTCAAATTCAAATCGAAAACAAAAACAAAAACTCTTTCATTATGTAATCCGTAAAGATGCAATTCTCTCTGAAGGCGCGTCCAGTGAGGAGATGGCGAGTCAGAATCGTCAACTTCATCTTTGTGACACTGACTCAGAAAACACTAGTTTATTAATAAATAATTACAATATCTCCTTACCATTTCCCCCTGACACGTTCAGGGTAATTTTGCCGAGGCTTTGCGGCAAGCTTTAGCCTATTGCGTGCACTTGAACGCGGAATAGGCTAGCCTAAATATTAAAGGTTCATTAGGGTTTAGAATTTAAGTACCGTATTGACCCGAATATAAGACGATGTTTTTTTCTTGGAAGTACAACTGAAAAAATGCGGTCATCTTATATTCAGGGTCTAGACTTTGACATGTCAATAATACACCCACAACAATAGGTGGCGCCAAATACGCATATAACGAGTGTGCCATGAAATACGTAATGTAATCGCGAGTAAAAACAAAAGAAAACCTTGCATCTGCATGAGTCGTGACTGTCACGTTAGCCTGATGGGACTAAACTCCCTTTGTGATTTTAAAACACAAGACACTGCCCAGATTTGAAGACTACAGTAAGATTGAACTTCTACTGTTAATAAGATTTTGGTAGGCTACTATTAGATGGATAGCCTAAATGTCCTAATTCAAATGGGCTACCTGTTTTGTTTTTTTTATGGTATTTCAAAAAGTGTATATTTTTAAAATGTGATTGTTGGTACATTTGACCAGTTTTTACCATACTTTCAAAACAAAAATTAAAATAGGAAAAATATGCAATATGAAAATAATTGAAGACAACGTGTTTTACTGAGAAAAAAAAAGATTTGGTTTTTAAAAAGCCTTTTTCCAAAAGGTACATATGGAAAAAGGGGGGTCGTCTTATAATCAGGGTCGTCTTATATTCCAGTTGTGCTGAAGGCATGCTCGCTGCTACTGGTGGGGTCGCTAAACACCGTCCGAGCCAGTCTTGACAGTCGCAGTATCATGGTCTCGTGTCGTTTCCACCAGTGTGGCAAATCTTTTTCATCACCATAATTGATAGATGTCTAAAATATAAAATTATAAAATAAAAAATAAGGAGAAGCCTAAAACAGGCCTAATGCCCGCCCGCGTCTGAATTTTTTTTTTAAAAAGCACGGCCCTAGGGGTGTAAGTCGGGTTCGTCGGGCTCGGGCTGAAATGCAGGGCTCCAAATGTCTGAGTAACAACACACTGAATCGAGTTGTTACTCGCGAAATATTCAAATTGGCAAGGTGTATTTGTCCGTTAAAGTGAAAGACAAAAAAAAATAAAAAAACAAGGTCGTGATTTGGGTCCCCCCTGCTTCCTGGGCCCATATGCGCCCCTGTATGTATGTATATATAATATGTATATTTTTTGTGTGTGTATATGTATATGTATATATATATGTATATATGTGTGTGTGTGTGTGTGTGTGTGTGTGTGTATATGTGCACATGCTATGTCTAAATATCTCTGTTACACTAAAAACTGTAGTAGGATTATAGGATATTTAGAAATCACTCTATGAAGAATGAAATGGTTGAAAACAGTGTAAGATTATCTAATATGTTAAATATTTAATTAATCACACTTTAAAGCATTTATATTGACAGCCCTAAAAGCACAAATTGGGGTTTCAAATTCTGAATTTTGAGTCTAAGAAATGTGTGTGTGTGTTTAATGTTGACATCTAGATTTTTTAATTTTTTTGCTTGCTTGTCCAAAGTGCTGCATTCACTTGTTATTAAGGATTGAAAGCCTCATGTATATCTCTGGTCTTGGTGTGAATCTGCCTTTATACTGTGTTTGTGTGTCCAGGTGTGTCCACATGTCACTTTGCGTGGGCGTTCCACTCAGAGGCTGAGGAGGAGATGCTGAACATGATTCCTGCCATGCAAAGAGGAGATCCGCAGTGGTCTGAGCTCAGGGCGGTGGGCGCCGGTTGGTGGGTCAGAAACATTAACACACTGAGGCGGATGGTGGAGAAGGTGAGACTACTAAAGCATTCTTGCTCACACATAGCGTTATTTACAAATAAGAAACCAGTATTTTCCAATCCTGTTCTTGAAGGTGCCCCAAACATACACATTTTGGATATCTCTCAAATCAAGCACATCTGATTCTCACTCTCATTTAAATTTTTTCTTTTTTCTTTTTTTTAATGGGACAGCCATCTTTTTATGAAAGGAAAATGGTTAGGAACCACTGGTATTAACCAATAGTGATCATAAAGTCAATAATAGTCAAAGGACTATTATTGGCTTATAGGATTAGAAACAACAAAGGAAGTTTCAAGAAAGTTTCCCGAAGGAGAATTTCATTAACCACTGTTTAATTATTTTGATTCCTGACCTCATTTTCTCTTTCACTTTCACTCTTTTGTTCATTTCTAATTCATTACAATTTTAGTTATGTGCAGTTCAGTTAGTTTCAGTTAAGTTTAGTTTAAATTTCATTACATTTCTAATCAGTTCAGTGTCTGCTCCATTTCAAGTTCAGTTTCAGTTCACTTTAATTCAGTTCAGTTTTGTTCATTGCATTTCTATACAGTTTCACTTCAGTTGAAATGTAATCTAATTTTATTTATTTATTTATTTTTAATTCAGTTAATATTAGACCCATTCACACCAAGGACGGTAACAACGTTTTAAAAATCATTCTAAGTTTAAAAGAATTGCACCTGAACTATAACAATAACGGCCCAGAATGATTGTTGGAATCACTGTCAGAACGATTTTATCCAGCTGATAAATGATAAAAAGAATGACAGCCAATCAGAGTCCATCCTGCATTAAAGAGCTTGAGCATTAAAAGTGGCATTTAGAATAAACCAAAACTTGTCTTGCATTGGTGTAGATGCTAATATAATTATAATTATAGTTATCTTTATAGTTATCTTTCTTGGTGTAAACAGGTCTTTTGAGTACATACTGTATGGCAATGGTGATAATTACAGTTCATAAATAAAAACTACATCTCTGCCTCTGCATTAGGTAGCCAAAGCAGCATTTCAGAGGCATAATGATCCGCTGGATGCAGCTCTCTTCTATCTGGCCATGAAGAAGAAGGCTGTTCTCTGGGGTCTCTTTAGGTACTTCAAAACTCACTGACTTATTCATAGTGTTACCTTCATAAAGCTGCATCTCATATGCAGTGTGCTATTCTCTTGATGCTGTGTTGCTGTGGGCTTTCTGCCTGTTTATTAATGTATTGATTTCTGTGTAGGTCTCAACATGATGAGAAGATGACCCAGTTTTTCAGCCATAACTTCAGTGAGGACCGCTGGAGGAAGGCAGCTTTAAAGAACGCCTTCTCTCTCCTGGGCAAACAGCGCTTTGAGCAGTCAGCTGCATTTTTCCTGCTCGCTGGCTCCCTGAAAGACGCAATTGAGGTCTGCACTGTCCTATTTTAACTGTGCTGAAATTCAATCCCAGGAAAATATAGAAAGTTTCTGTTGTTGATCTCTTAGATGTGGAGTCTGCAGAGTTTGGTTTGGTTGTGACGTCATAGAGCGTGTGGTCGTCTGTGAAGTGTGGAGTGTGATATAACAGCCCTGAGCGGTTCAGTTTAGTCTAAACATCACAGATAAACTCCCCTGATGGACATATGACAGCTGTAATTTACCTTGGGCTGGATGTCTGACAGCACACAGTGAAAACACAGTGATAACACTACTCATGAGAGATTACGTCAGTATATAGGTTGTTAAAATGAGATATGTGGAGCTATATTAGGAATATAAATTAGCTTTGCTTCTGCTTTTAGTCTATTTTTATCTTGAATAGATGAATGAAAAGTCACATATAATTGTGCAAACAATAAATAAAATGAATAAATAAAAAAAGCCTGATACCATTTTAAAAAGATAAAATATATATTTATTTTTATGATGTTCCATGTTTTCCCCTCAAATAGTACAGTAGTATAGTAGATTCTCGTTAGATTTCCACTTATACAGTGATGTTTCATAGTTGAAAAATACAATAATTCTGTTTAAATCAGTATAGATTAAAGGCAGTACATCATATACTACAATAATGTATAAATGGTTTACAATTTTAAATAATATTAGATTTTTTTTTTGTACTGACGATAATATACGTGCAGATTTTGTGTGTGTATATATATATATATATATATATATATATATATATATATATATATATATATATATACATTTTTATTTTTATTTTTTTTGCTTAATTGTAATTAATGTAATGTAAAAATAAAATCTTAATTTTGGAGTGAAATTAGGGCTGTCAACGTTAATGTAGTAACTCGTGCAATTAATTTTACAATCCTTAATATCTTGAAATAGTTTAATGCAAAATTACTGAAGCACAATTTCTATTCTAACCCTTTAAACCAAATTTGCTTCTCTGATCAGATCATTTTAAAGAGAGCCCCAGTGATGGAGGTGGTGTTTGTTTGCAGTCCACAAGCCACGGTTAAGACAGCTGACTCCCCTGGGATGTGCCCCCCCCGCCCCTCTCTCTCTCTCTCTCTCTCTCTCTTTCTTTCTCTCTCTCGCGCTCTCTCTCTCTCTCACACGCGCGCACGCGCGTATGCATAATGTTTTGATTTGTCATGTGTATGTTGCTGTGTTTAGTTATTCTGAATGGATCTGTGTTCTGTAGTAGATACATGCAGTCTATGACTCATCTTAAATGTAAACAAGCTCTTTGCTGTTGACACATTATACAATTCAGATTTTTTTCTTGCATGTGTGCTTTGGTGTGCATAAATGTATAATTTATGTGGACTCCTTATATAATTTGGTTCTTTGGTGTACCTTTGGAGTCTCCAAGTGTCCTTTTTTGGAAAGACATCTAAATTTATCTTGAAAATAGCTTGTAGAAAATAGAGATTTGTGAGAATCACCTTTCAATATTTTGGTTTACTTGGCTGGATATAGTAAATTAATTGTGTGATTAATCGTAATTAATCACAGAAAAAGGGTGTGATTAATCCGATTAAAAATTGTAATCTATTGACAGCCCTGTCAACCTGTGTATGTTACAGTAGAAAGCTAGTTTAAAATAATTTCCCTAATTTTCACTAAATGAACACAAGGAATAACATTTAGTTAATTTGTATGCAAAGTAACAATATGTAGTAATAAACAGTATGCACTAAACATTTAAATAATGTAAAATACCACACAGAGAAGTTTGTGTGTGATGAATTATGTTGTGAGCGATTCATTGAAATGGACAGTTCAAAAGAACTGAATCATGAAAATAAATTAAACTGTTGAAATTTGAACTCCAAGACATAATTAAAATATGCAAGGAAGAGCAAGACTAGTGTACCAAAAGTCTAGGAAACTGAATTGCTTAGAAGTACATTAAAATGATCACAAAATCCATGATGTTGATTAGTTGTATATTTCCAGCTAAGTATTATCCAACACTTACTAAACATATAATATGTTGGCCATTCCTGATCTGTTCTGGATATTCTCTCTCTCTGTGTGCGTGTGTGCGTGCGTGCATGTATTTCAGTTTGAGGGGAAAGTGGCTGCAGGTCAGCTGGAGAAATGGGGAGATGATGGATCTCTGGACCTGGAAGACTCACAGATTCGTGGTGAAGCAGGTGCATACGAACGTCATCAGATGGAGCGACGGCGTCTGCAGGCCAAGCAGCTACATGCAGAGCGGAGGAAAGCCTGGCTGAGAGAGAATCAGGCTCTGCTCAGAGTCTTCCTCAGTTACTGCAGTCTACACGGAGCCAAGGGTGGAGGAGTGACTTCTGTCAGGATGGAGCTACTCTTTCTGCTGCAGGAATCACAGCAAGTGCGTCCTCACATGATGGTTCAATGTGTTGATTGATTTATATTGTGCTCTCACACAAGCGGTTGGTTGGTTGAGTGTGTTCTCACGTTATTTGTTGGTTGTGTGTCCTCAGGAAATGACAGTGAAGCAGCTTCAATCGCCACTCCCCCTCCCCACCACTCTGCCCCTGCTGTCGGCCAGCATCGCCCCCACCAAGACTGTCATCGCCAACCCTGTCCTGCATCTCAGAAACCACATACATGATGTCCTCTACACCATTGTCCAGATGGAGGCTCCACCACACCCAAACATACTGGACGACCGGGTGAGAAATGCACGGACTCCCTCACACATAGAAAGATTGTATGAAGACTCTGTGTGTCTGTGTGTGTGTGTGTGTGTGTGTGTGTGTGTGTGCTTCTGCTAATATGTGCATGTGTATTTCAGGTGAATGCTTTACACACACTCGCTGCTTCTCTATCAGCTTGTATCTACCAATCGCTGTGTGACAGCCACAGCTACAGGTACAAACATGCCACTACTGATGATTGTTCATCTTAAAATGCCTCTAAAGGTGTTGTAGCTGCTTAGATTGTCTGACTACTGTGAACAGCATACCATTCTGTTAATTCTTACACACATATACACTCAGTCACTGACTCGTGCCCACCTTTTCTTGTGTGTGTGTGTGTGTGTGTGTGTGTGTGTGTGTGTATAGTAGTCCGTCGGAGACCAATCAGTTCACAGGGATGGTCTATCAGGGGCTGTTACTGAGCGACAGGCGTAGACTTCGCACAGAGAGCATCGAGGAACATGCAACGCCCACCTCTGCCCCTGCACAGTGGCCAGGTAACACACATCAGACTCCACGGAACACATGCAGGGAAATAGCACATTCAGACTCATCCTCATCTAGTGATAAGTAATTCTGTGTGGAGAGGAAAGTAACATCTGCAAAGACCCAGTTTGGTTCCTTTATTTATAAAGTCCCTGATGGTGAAACATAATATTACCCAGTAATGTGGAATAGGCTAATAATCCTGTTTGACAATATGGAATTTGGATGGATGGATGGATGGATGGAAGGAAGGAAGGAAGATCAGTCAGAAAGATCACAAAAGATTGGACAGAGGGACAGATTGATAAACACAATGGTCAGGTAGATGATGTGGAGATTGGATGGATGAATAAACATATATATATATATATATATAGAGAGAGAGAGAGAGAGAGAGAGAGAGAGAGAGAGAGAGAGAGAGAGGATGGATGGATGAATGGACTGAAGGACAGATAGATGACTGAGATTGGATGGGTGGATGAAAGGATTGATGGATGGATGGATGGATGGACAGGTAAATGGAGGAGAGATTGGATGTATTGACAAAAAGAAAGGTGGACGTAGTAACAGATGGATGGATGAATGGATAAATGGAGGAGAGAGACTGGATGGATGAACAGATGAGAGGATGGATGGGTTGACAGATGGAGGAATAGACTGATGTAGGACAGAATGAATGAATAAGAGATATGTTGGATTGATGAATGGATGGATAGACTGATAGTAGAGAGAATGAATTTATAGAAGATATGATTGGATGGAGGCTCATTGTGTATGTTTTCTCTGTCTCAGGTGTGTCGTCTCTGATCAGTCTGCTGGCGTGTGCTCAGGGTGATGATCAGATTCGTCTGAACGTCATGTTGTGTGAGGCAGTGGTGGCTGTGTATCTCAGTCTGCTGATTCACGGTCTTGGCACACATTCTGGAAACGAGCTCTTCCGGCTGGCTGCTCATCCCCTCAATAACCGCATGTGGGCAGCCGTGTTTGGGGGTGGAGCCAAGCTTATTGTCAAACCCAAGCGGCCACCTGAAATCACTCCAGGTAAGTCTTCTGCCTTGGCAGAAGATAAAATTTTTTTAAAAGTCTTGAAAACGGTCTCTGGGGTCTCAGTTCATAATCAGATTTCCTCTCCTGTCAGCTGCTCTCAAGGCAGCAAGGTCAGAGTGTGTAAAGGTCACAGATTCTGACCCACCGACCTTGACTGTCAATCAAGCACCACCTCGGACTGAGGCTGGTAAACATAGTAACATTACCATGGAAACAGCACAGCCAGAGAGCTGTGAGTAAGAGTTCAGAGGCACTTCCTCCACACAGGAGCAGGAAATGAGATAGGAATGATGGACTTCTAGTGTTGTATCAATAAGCACATAAAAGTCCAGTGATTAGATTACAAAATATTACTATATATATTACAATAAGGTTCCGTTTCTTAACTACATTAGTTAACATGAACTAACAATAAAAATGACTTCTAAAGCATTTATTAACCTTAGTTAATGTTAATTTCAACATTTACTAATATATTATCAAAATCAAAATTGTATCTGTATTAGGGGTGTACGATATTATGATTTTTTAAAATTAAAATGTCTCCATGATCTGCTTTTGAAGAAATATCGTTGTATCGCGCTACAGCGCACATTCTATCAGTTGCAGTTCTCGCGCCTCCATCTCAATATACTGTACAACACGACATACGCTCGCATTAAATGTTAACTCAGCGGTAGATTTACACTCACAGGAGGACACTGCTCTTGTTCGCAATCACAAAAGTACATTATTTGCATGTGCTTTAAAGCCTTGCCGGTTAAACGTTTCATTAGCGTGCTGTTACATGCGCTTTATCTGAGAGTGTGCACCTGAAGCTCGCGCACACAAAAAGCCTGTCAAACAGCGCCTGATTACTGGACTTCATTATCTTTCACTTCTGTTCCCCTGAGATTCCTAAATGTATCTACAGTACTTCTGGAAGGCCAAATAAAGTGATTTTGCTTTAGCCTAGAAACACACAGCGTCTCCCTGACATGCTGCTTCAACACTAACTGCGGTTACTGAAACCACGCCTTCTTTCTTTGCGTGAACATTTGGGCGGCATTATGCTAATATTTCCACATAGTGAGGTAGATATGTGGGGGCGTGTTAGAACGAGCCGTTTTAGGGGGGTGTGGCAGAGTCTTAACTTTGATAAAGAATATCTCTTTGGTTTTGAGACTTTAGTCTTTGCAACTTCAGGGATCTTATCTATGCACAATCAGCTTGTAACACTCCAAAGAGAAAGGAAAACTTGAAATCGCATCATATGACCCCTTTAATAAAACAAAACACAAATAGAAAAATCACTCACTGCTTTAGACTGAGGAACATTAATACAGTTGTTTTAATAAGAATCAATGTATAATTTAAACAGTGAAGTGTATATAGTATTTATTTTTATATTTGTTCATTCAAGTTCTTGTTATTTTTAATAACAAAGATAAAATAATGACAGATTTTTTTATCGTTGGCCTAAATGTCTGACATTCTTTTTTTATTTTACACCTTGTAAGGCTTTGTTTTTAAAATAGGGAAATTAGTTTAGCTGTACAACTTGCAAAATAGTTAAACCAACTTGACAAAGAATCGTGATTAAAATCTTGAATTGGGATTTTCCTGAAAAAAATCACGATAGGGTGTTTTCTTGCCATATCACCCACCCCTAATCTGTATCATTGTGTCATTTAATGGACCTGAGCTAACATGACCTAACAATGAACAGTTGTACTTTTATTAGCTAAAATTAACAAAGATTAACTAACAACGAACAATACATGTATTACAGTATTTATTAATGTTAGTTAATGGATAAACTAATGTTAACTAATGGGACTTTATTAGTGTTACCCATATATTGTAGTTGGTGGGACATGTGTGTCATTCCCTGTTTGTGTGTGGAGAGGTGCTGCGTGCGTTTGCAGTGACGTTTGTTCTTTATGGATTATATTTCATTCTTTGTTACTTTGTGTGTGTGTGTCTGTGTGTGTGTGTGTGTTTTCATCCAGCCTTTTTTGTGTTTGTGTGCATATTATGCTTGTGTGTCTCATTTTCATCTCATCATCACGTGTGTGTGTGTGTGTGTGTGTGTGTGTGTGTATGTGTGTGTGCGTGCGTGTGACCATCACAGCCCATGTGGAGTCAAACAGGCAGACAGAGCTCCAGTCTGAGAACACACCAGGTACACACACTCCCTCCACTTGTCTCTCTGTTCAGCCTTTTAAATCTGTTCACCTGTTTTTAAAGGTCACTTCCAGAATGAAAATTGAGTAGATGATGACAGAATTTTCACTTCACTTTAACTCTAGTCTAGATGTAGGTGCGTATCTCTCTCTCTGTGTGTGTCTCTCTCTGTGTGTGTGTGTGTGTGTGTGTGTGTGTGTGTGTGTGTGTGTGTGTGTGTGGGTGTGTGTGTGTGTGTGTGTGTGTGTGTGTGTGTGAGAGAGAGAGAGAGAGAGAGAGCGAGCGAGCGAGAGAGAGAGAGAGAGACAGTTGACCTCCCCTCTGCGTGTAGGGATGCGGTCAGTGGCTCAGGTGCTCACCAGCTGTCTGAGGTCAACATTCAGAGTTAGTTTGTTCTGTTCTCTTTCTGTCTGAACTGATGAGACCTTTATAGTGGAACCAATTTGATTATGCTTGCTTTATTGAAGGGCAAAATAAAAGGTGCTGTTTCAAGCCCTACTAAATTGGCTCACTGTCTGCTGCGTACATAGGCAGCAACCATTTCAGTGATGCACCGTAATATTTTTTTTATTTTTTTTACTGAAACCAAAATTAGTTGTAAGTGAAAATAGTTTATTCAATATACTAACTTTTCTTTTGCTGACTAACAAGCTATGAATATTGAATGGCTTTCCTGAGGTAAATGTAACATTACATGAAATTGTTTACAAGTTGTTTGATGATTAAGTGATTACATGAGACGATGTACAGTATAACTTTCAGTTAGTTGTACTATTTACTTCAGCATACCTTCTGATGTTAATTCATGTTTATTTCTTGCCGTATATATTAGTAAAGAGGAAGAGATGATGGGTTTATGTGCGCTGAGTGCTACTGCTTGAACTGAGGCAGCCACAACGATCTGCCATGTCACACAAAAAAAAAAGTCAAACTGACATTTACCATTTTTAGGGTAACTCTTTCAGTTAGTTGCCAACATTTAGTTTAATTATTATTTTTTTTCATCTAATATTAAAATTTTAATTTTAGTTTTATTTCAGTTACCCTAAATGGATTAATTTTCTAAAGTCTAGAAAATCAGTCCTTTAATTGTCTGTAAATCTAAAATCTAGTGTTTCTAAACATAGTTACATTGGAAAGTGCTTCTGGTCACATAAAAGGACCACATTCATAAAACCGTGTAAAATAACCTAGTGATTAAGATTTTGTTTTCATACTTGTTGGCTCTTGGCATTTTGTCAAGGTGCTCTCTGGCAGCGCTCAAAGAGGAGATCCTTTGATCATCAACAGAGTAAATTAATCTGTCTGAGTTTCCCTATCAGCTCTTTGTTTCAAAATAGCCCTCCCCACACACACACACACACACACACACACATACATACTGTACTCACACTCACAGACTCTTACTGCAGGAATTTCTCTTTGAACATGACTCCTGAAGGATATGGTGGTTTGGTGTGGTTCTTCTCTTCAGATGTGTCCTCCCTTAAATTGGAGATAAACATTCCACACTTTCAGAATCAAAACATGCTTCAAGCCTAGAAAGACTCTTTGAACAGCAAACACCTGAAGAGATGGGATACTGGACTTGTCTGTCGGTTTATTGGCATGACTTTCACGTTATTAAAATATTTGACCTCTCTGGCTGTGTTTGCAATAGCGTAGTAGCATAATGCTTACAACATACGACAGTTTATACTTGCTGCTAGGAGTCAGCAAATAGTGGCCACCTGTCATCTTGAAAATAAAAACTCTTATCATCTGTCTCTCACTCCCTGCTTCTCTCTCTTCTCCAGCAGTACCTCCTCCAACCCCTCCTGCTGAGGACGTGGACCGACAGCGACGCAGGTTTAACATGCGCATGCTTGTTCCTGGACGTCCCGTTAAAGAGACTCCAGCCACACCTCCGCCCATCCCTGTAGAGCGGCCCACCTATAAGGAGAAATTCATTCCACCTGAGCTCAGCATGTGGGATTACTTTGTGGCCAAAGTGAGACTGCGTCTACTGCTTATTTACACAGGATAAACTGATTTATAAAAAAAGTAAAATACATGCACTGTATGTACAAAGACATAAGTTATTTTTTGTTCTAAGTGCATCATAGAGATGTGTTTGGAACATTTGCATCAGTTTATAAATCAGAAAAGCAGTTATCATAGTGTCTGTCTCATTGCTTTCTGTCCGTGTGAATGTGTGTGTGTTTCCTCCAGCCTTTCCTTCCTCTCTCTGACAGCGGAGCACTGTATGATTCAGATGAGAGCGGTGGTAGTGACAATGAGGATGATGATGATGATGATGATGCCTTCCTCTCAGACACACAGATGACAGAACACTCCAATCCAAACTCCTACAGGTGAAATATAACACGTTATAACATAATTAAAAAGGATTGTTACAGAAGCTTCAAGAAGTAAAACTAAGATGAGGAACTCTTATTGTGATTAATTTTGTTAACTGAAATATAAATTAAGTGCCATACAATGCAAAAATTAATTGAAAAGTTAAAACAACCTTTATGAAAACTTCCATTTTGAAAATGTATGTGTTTGTGTCTTTGCAGTTGGTCTCTGATCCGCCTTGTGATGGTCAAACTTTCCCTGCACAATGTCAAGACGTTCCTGCCCCTGACAGGACTGGACTTCACAGGTGCATGAGTAGTAGAAATGTACTCTGACATGCTCCATCTGTCAGAAAGTAAACTAAATAATTCACTTCCATTTCCTGTGCCTCTTTGTGTTGTCTTAGAGTTGCCAGTGACGACTCCCCTGACCAATGCCGTGCTGAAGACACTGGAAAACTGGGAACAGATTCTCCTGGAAAAAATGAACAAATTTGACAGCCCTCCACCAAACTACATCAACACCTACCCCACGGACCTGAGTGCTGGCGGGGGACCGGCTATACTCAGACACAAAGCCATGCTAGAACCAGATAACACACCGTTCAAGTGTGTACTTGCTCCGGATGTCTCAATTAATCCCAAGAATTACAATTAAACCAAAGAATAACTGAATCTTTAAAGAATTATGTACGTGTAAACGACTGTTCATGTGCTTTGTTTTGTTCTGTTTTTTTTCTCTTCAGGTCAAAACACCACCTCTCCTTCCCTGCTCGCCGTCTGTGGCATTTTCTAGTCAAGCAGGAGGTTCTCCAAGAGACTTTGATTCGATACATCTTCACAAAGAAAAGGAAGCAGAGTGAGGTAACTACAGAACACAGTGGGTGAGACCAGACACTGACAGAATAAATGTGGCGGGAGAGATTTTTAAAGAGGCAGGGCCAGTCACAGAGTGAGGTATACCAAATCACTCGAAATCGCATGCTCTCTGAGTAGGTACTTCTTTTGAATAACAGAAAGTATGGTCTATGTAGTATGAATATGAGTAGTATGAATATAAACTGGACATACTGTCGTAGTCATGTGACCACCCGACGTCAGTTACTGCCATTCAAAAATCCTCTCTCATGGCATCATGAGATCCATCAGGTGTGAACTTCAGAATCTCACCGGAAGTATTAAAGGGTTAGTTCACCCAAAATGAAAATGCTGCCATTAATTACTCACCCTTGTGTCGTTTCAAACTCGTAAGAATGGGTATGGAATGGGAAGAGCCAGAGTGAGCTAATTAAAGAGGTGGGGACAAAGCAACAGTGAGGGAAGACAAGGGGTGGAGCCATTATGATGCATTCACAAGGGTTGGGGCTAGAAATAAAGTGTAGTCACGTTAGCAAAATTCTGCAGGCAAAAAGGTCCGTTGTCCATTGTCTAAATAGTGTCATGATGTATTAAGTAAAGCCATTGAACCAAGCAGCCATCTGTGGGTCATTATGGCAAATTTGTGACCAGCTTTGAACCAGATGAGGTAATACAGTGGGCGGGGCCTAAGTGAAGGCATTGAATAGGCGGAGCCAAACTGCAGCAATTAAAAGGGGTGGGTCCAGCATAAAATAATTTAAAAGACACTAGTTTTTAAGAAGTTTTAAATTGGTATTAAAGAATTGGAGAAACTTCAAGAGAAGCAGCTTGTTTTTTGAATCAAGATTTTTATCAAATAAATACAGAACTGTGGTAAGTAGCCATCTTTATATGTTGAGGGTAAGTAGTGACACAGATGCTGGAGGGAATATGCATTTTATCTCAAGACCATCTCTCTCTGTCAGAGCTCCAAATGAGATTTTTTTTGTCTTTATTATTTAATTTGTTTTTCTCCATCTGTTTGTCACTCGTGCATGTGTTTTGTGCTGTGCCCCGTGTGTGTTTGTTAATGTATGTGTGTGTTGTGGTGTGTATTGTGTAGTCTTTAGATGATCATGTGGACCACCTCATACAAAACTACGTTACTGGAGCTCGAAAAACCAACAAGGTACTGAGTCTCAGAATGGGACTCATCTCTCTGTGAAACCCTCTTAAAGCTTTGGGCTTCTATCCTCTATTAACCTGCTATGACCTCACATACACACACACACACACACACGTCCGTTTCTTTCCTCACATCCACTAACTAGTCTGGCACGGCACTGCTCTTCCTCACTCACCACCAAAGGCACTGAAAGCGGTTAACCAATCAGACTGGATTCTGCTTCTGACACCATGTTTAGAAGATCAAGTAATAACTAATTAATGTTTTGCCTTCTAAGGAGGTGTGTACATGGTCTCAAATGCATGTTAGCATCCTGCTATTGCTGCTGTGTGTGTGGATGTGATTGGGTGCTTATTTTAAAAACAGCAGCAGAACAGACTAATACGAGTGTGTATTTGTGTACGCGTGTTGTGTTACAGGTGGAGGCTGATATGGGTTACCCGGGAGGCAAAGCCAAAATCATCCATAAAGAATCTGACATCATCATGGCATTTGCCATTAACAAGGTAAGGCCATTTCTATCTCTAGTTCTATTATAGAGAGAGTGGCTCTGTTAATGGCCTCACGGTTTGAAGTCAGGTTTCATAGTCAATTAGTTCATTGAATAACTGCTAATACAGCAAACAAAATGTGGAGGACTTCAAATGCTCCAAGTGCTTGTAACTCTACAGTGGAAATATATAATATACCTAATACATTTTAATGCACAGCTCTCTGAAATACTTTACATTTATGTTTAGTCATTTAGCAGACGCTTTTCTCCAAAGCGACTTACAAATGAGGACAATAAAAGCAGTCAAAACTAACAAAAGAGCAACAATATATAAGTGCAAATGACAAATCTCGGTTAGGCTAGCGCAGTACACATAGCAAGGTGTGTGTGTGTATATATATATATATATATATATATACAGACACACATATGCACACACACATATATACACACACACATAAAGAAAAACGAGTAGATAGAATAGAAAGTATTTTATTTTATTAATTTTTTTTATTTATAATAAAAGAAGATAAATATAGGTAAAGTAGAATTAAAATAGAATGAAAGTGCTAGAGTTAAAAGGTCAAATAAAGGTGGAACAGGTGTGATTTTAGTCATTTCTTGAAGATGGCTAAGGACTCAGCTGCTCGGATTGAGTTGGGCAGGTCGTTCCACCAGGAGGGAACAGTTAATGTAAAAGTCCTTGAAAGTGATTT